ATATTTCCATGATTTACAACTGCAGGATACATATATGTGTAAGTATGTGTGTGTGTTTATATAACTTCACTTAATTACCATATCCTTATGGAATAAGCTTAATTACCCAGTTTTACAGATGAGGAAATTGAGAGCCTTTGTTAAGCATGTATTGACCTCATACTCTGTGCCAGACACAAGGCCTACAGAAGAGAAATGAAACAGTTCCTGTCCTAAAGGTGCCCACAGACCAAAGGAGGAGGTCAGAATTTGAAGAACTTGACTTGCCCAAGGTCACACAGCGATTTACTATGAGATCTGGAACTCCATTCAACTTTTCTGGCACCAAGTTCAGCACTCTCTTCACAGGTGCCACCAGTAAAGTCCAGATGCACTTATAGAGCAGGGAATAGAAAGGGGAAGGGATAAAGGTGTGCTGAGGTTGGAAGAGTCTTACTATTAACACCAAGCTCAGAAATGAAATGCAACCCATTAAAGTTACAATTTTGAAGATTATGACTAGACATTAGAAAATGCTTTTGATAAAATGTTGGGTTAAAAAACAAACACAAATGGTATGTTTACCCATATTCACTTGGTACACATATGGACAGGTACAGGACAAGAGCATGGGCAAATTTCAACAGCTGGATTTTCTTCATGTAGCAGGGTAGCTAGTGGCTGAAATTTCCTTTCTTTCTTTCTTTCTTTCTTTCTTTCTTTCTTTCTTTCTTTCTTTCTTTCTTTCTCTTTCTTTCTTCTTTCCTTCCTTCCTTCCTTCCTTTCTTTCTCTCTTTCTTTTTCCTATTACTTTATAATTTTGTTGATGTTGCTAAAATATAAACTGTAGGTGGGAAAAAAGAGATAACGTGGAAAGATTAAAGGTTTTGCAGCTGGGCAGACCTGGATTCAAATCACAGATTTGCCAATGACTAACTATACAGTAGAGAAAGTTACTTAACCTCTCTGTGCCTCAGTTTCTTTGGCAAAGAATAATATTAATTTTGCAGGGTTACCCTGAGGATTAGCGATTATGTGTTAGGACACCCAATAAACAAAGACCAACCACTCAACCTGTAATTATTTTTATCATTATAACTATATAATATAAGCCAAGAAGTGTGTCAGAAAACAGGCAGGACTTGCAGGGCCTGCTGTGAGGCACAGATGTGGCCAAAAGTCTGCAATGGCATCTGTAACCCAAAGAGCAATGTGGAATCATCCTTATCAGTAGCAAAAACATGTGTTGAGTCAGGTCCTTAGGATACAAACCTATAAAACACCACCTGTTCTGAAGGGGTTTACCATCTATCTTTTTACCTATTCAATAAACATTTGTTATGAACCTCTTGTAAGTCAGAGACCAAAAGAAAAGCTAGTGATGTAAAGATAAATAGGACTTAGTCCTTACCACAGTTTACTGGAGAGAAACAATCATGGAAACAGATAAATACAATATAATGTAGAGAACATAATCACAAAGTTCATTTGGGAGCATAGATAAACACTTAATCCAACCTGGGTGAGGGAAGATGAGGAAAGTCTAGGAAGCATTGGCCCTGGAACTGAGCCCTTAAGTATAAGCAGGAGTTGGTTAGAAAAAAAGGGCCTGGGTGGGGTGGCAGAAAAGCATCCCAGGCAGAGAGGAAGATGTAAGGAATGGTGTATTACATAACAATCAGTTCAGTTTTGCCAGAACATAGAATTTGAAGCAGGGGATGAGATTGGAGAAGGAGGTGGGAACCAGCTCAAATGAGGCTTCATACACCTCCAGAGGGCAGTGATGGATTTGAGGCCAGGAAGGTGGTGTCAAGGTGGTCAGCTCTCCAGCTCAGACAAACACTCTAGAGCCCTGTAGAGGGAGGATGTGAATGGGACAGCTGGGTTGCAGTTAAGGGTCACCTCTAGGGGTTCAGAAGAAAGATTAGTCTGCACTAGGACAGAGATCGTCGGCAGGGAGATGATGGTGATGGAAACCAGATGGCAAGACAGTCCCTAACAATCCCAAGAGCCCAGTGAGAAGTAGAAAGGAAGTACTTTCTTAGGCTTGGAGAAAAATTTTGTAACAGACAGTCTGGGAAATCTTAGTAGATAGAGGAGAGATGAGATGAGCAGGAGAAGATGCAGGTGGAGAAAGGGGGCAGATCCCAGGGGAAGGAAAGGAATTAACAAAGGCAAAGAAGCCATAATATGTAGGTTGGGTTCACAGAAGAAGGTCAGTCAGCAGTAAGAATGTGTAACCTTTGAGAGGCCCTCTACATTGTAAATTCTCATCCCCATACAGGGAAGCATTTGTGCCAGATAGATTATAGCTTCCTCCCCCAAAACCCCTGCTTTCCTGAGGCATAAAGAGAGGCTGCCATGAGCTCAAAGTAGAGAAAGATTCAGAAGTTCTTCTAGACTATAATCCAGAAAAGAAAAGAGAGAGTCCCTCCTGATACCATGAAAGTTCTGGTGGTCTTGTGACTCCTGGCTGCGGCCAGACGGGCAGAGCTCCTTCCCCTGCTCTGGCTTTCTCATTCCCCACCTCCAGCCCCACTTTCTGCCATCAAGGGGCAGACAGAAGTGACTGGCTGAGCAGCCGTGCCAAGGAAAAGAGAAGAGTAAGATGTGAAGAAGTGGGGAAGAAAGTGCTAAAGTGACCAAGGGGTCAAGGGCGAAGGGGAGAAAGACGGCGTCTAAGGTGAGAAGTTCCCTTGCCAACCTGAATGTCACAGGAGTGCACAGGGTCAGACAGGAAACATTAGACTTTGTGGGACATTCGCTCTCTGTCTCAACTACTCATCTCTGCCACTTAGCATCTTGTGACACTTAGCACAATAGGTAAATAAAGAACCGTAGCGAGGTTTCAGTAAAACTTTGTTTGTGGACACTGAAATTTGGATTTCATAAAATGTTCACATATCACAAAATATTCGCCTTTGATTTTTTTCAATCAGTTAAAAATGTAAAAACCATTCTTAGCTCACATACCAGTACAGCCAGTGGGCTGGGTTTGGTGTGTGGAATGTGATTCGCCATCCCTGGTTTAGAATAAGGGTCTCATATAGATGAAAGACTGGGATGGGTCAAGTAGCAGAGAGAAGCCACTCCCAAACCTACACTCCTGTGGGTTCTGGATGCGATGAAATATAGGGCAGAAAGTGAAGAACAGAACTGTTTCTCTACTTTCACAGTTGCTTCCCTGGATAATGATAAGTTGTTTAGTAATGTACTATACCACTCCTTTACCCATAATCAAGGATGTAGTGATGGGGTTTTATATTGCTTTTCTATTAATTAAATTTTGAAATACTGCTTCCTATGTTTCTATAAACCATATCATGGTATTCAGAAAACCCATAATAAAACAACAGCCATACGTATTTTGGCTATGATATGCTCCTCTGGCTACTAAGGAAGCCAGGTAACACCAAGGGCTGTGCCTCACGTGGCCTTAGCTGCCCATCTGGGAAATGGCAAATCCTCTTATGCAGCTACGTGACCTGCTCTTGCCCGACTGGCTGCTCCCACTTGTAAGGTTCTCATATGCTCTGCAGACACACAGTGTTTTATTGACCCTTCCAAGTCTCAGTCTCTTCCCCTGCTAGACACTAAATGATCTTTCCTAATTTGCAAAGATTTATGTGGTCTTGCTTGGAAAACACTTAAGAATCCTTGGGCTTTGCCTTTTCTCCCAGCAGCATAGCTAAGGGGTAGCTGTGCATCAAAATAAGGTGATTAGGAAGATTGAGGTACAAGATTCTTGACAAAGAGCCCAACCATTTTCCTTGGCCTGGGCACAAGTCTCCAGATTTCTAAATCATCAATATCATATCAAATTCAGACTCTAAAACCACTCAATCTCTCCTCCCCCTGACCCTCTGCACCCAGAATAAAAGGATTCATGTTGTTACACTTCCTTCTTTTCTGCTCTCTGGAAGCAGTTACTCCTCCTTATTAGAGAGGATGTTGGAGATGCTCCTGCTGACCTGTTGCCTTACCTATGCTCCAAGAGTTCTAACTCCCCAGCCACCTCTGACACTCATAATTTTTAGGGGTGAAGACAAAAGTAAGGAGTCAAGGGGAAGAAGAGAAGCCCTAGAGAAAATGAGGATGCATAGTGAGGGTTCTTGCTCCTGACACTCATGCCCTCAGCCAGCCAGGATGGACAGGAAAGGAGCCAGCCACACACACTAATGTGTGATCCACAGAACTCAAACCCAAAAGGACCCCGCCAAAGGGATGTCATAGAACCAACGATGGAACACTTGGTTGCGTGCATTTCCAACAAGTCCAAGCTCACAGGACTTGCTTGGTTGGTAGTGGAGAACCCTCCCCTCATTGCTAGGGTGTGGGGAAGATGGATGCACTTCTCCCAACTCCCCAGATACAGTCAAAAACCCACCTTCTGCCACAAGGCACAAGGTTGGTTCGGCTGGCTTCCCACAAATCTGGTTCTGAAGGAAGCACACAGCTTCTCTGGAAACACATTCGTTCTCCTCTCCCATTTGATCTTTCTTCCACATGCTTTTTGGATTAACGCTGGCATTTTGCTTCCATCTGTTTTCAGCTCTTGGTTAGAAACGTCCAAGGCCGGCTCTAGCCTTCTACATGGCTGGGGGGTCCTCTGCAGGGCACTGCTCCAGAGCAGGGTCCATGGAAGATCACCTGCACATCTTCCTTCCAGCGCACAAACACTGAGTGGGCACCTCCTACGTGCCAGGCATCGCGCCATCTATCAGGCACTTGGAGGCGCCATGTCACGCCGCTGTGCAAAATTCAGCGCAGGCTCCCGTCTCGCTTGAGTAAAAGCTCAAGCCATTACGGGGACTGGCAAGACAAAAGATGACGCCGCCCTCCCCACCCCCAGCCCTCTGACCTCACCTCCTGCAACTCTCCCTCAGACGCTCCAAAGCCACTCTGGCCTCGTGGCTGTGCAGTGGCCAGACCTGCCACCTTCCGTCTCAGTGCCTTGGCACCGGCTGTTCCCTCCACTACCCACCCACCCCCCTGGAATGCCCCTTCCCCAGGATCCTTAGCTTCCTCACCTTCAAATCTGTGCTCAAATATCACCTTTCAACAAGGCTGGTGCTGACAACTGCAGGCCTCCACCGGCACACCTGGCCCCCCTTTATCCACTCTGAATGTTCTCTTTCTGCAGCACTTATCACCTACTGCCTTGGCCCAGTTCCCTAGAAAACGTGGCTTAAAGGAATGCAACCCCAGGGAAGCGGACATGAGGGAAAAGGGGTAAAGCATAGAAGCAGGGAGAGCAGACCTCAGGGAATATGTTTTCCAAATGGCCACAGTGTTGTAAAAAGTGATGGCTGGGTCCCATGGGGCATCTTTGGAGGGGCTGAATGAAGCAATTCCTCTCCAAACAATCTTGCCCAGGGGAGGAGAGAAGAATGTATCCTTCGATCTCCGTCTCTCCTTGGTCAAAGTCTGCCCTATGGGTGTTAACGCCCTCGTACTTCCAAGTGATGTGAAAGCAGATGAGCCCAGAGGAGGTTCCTCACCTTCTTGCGAACAGGAAGCCCCAGCATGAAAAGCGGGAGTTGAAAGATGCAGGACAGGTGCCAGGCGGGGGCCTCTGGGTCATGCTTGAGAGCAACCTGAGGGACAGCCCTTACAGCCGGCCCCTTAGCTGTAGGAGTGGTAGTGGTGGGTGGTTCCAGACTGGCAGGCCCAGACCCAGCCGTTGCCAGACCTGCTCCCCACCAGGCCAGGTCCGTGGAGCTGGACTGTGCATAAACTGAATCCCGTATAACCTGATACATGATAGGTCCTCAGCACGCTGTTGAAAGAATAAGAGGGCAGGGATAATGAATGAGATACAGACCCTGCCCTCAATGAGCTTACAGGGCCCCAGGGACACAGACAAGGCTAGCTCAGCGCGATCCAGAACAGGAACGCCGTGCATGCAGCCAGCCAGTCGGCTGCAAGAGGACTTAGTGGAGCTGCTTAGCACAGCTGTGTGATCTCTGAGTCCTGATGACTTGACTAGATGTGACAGGTCATGCCCCGCCTGGCGTATCCCATAAAACAAGGACACTGGAGTAGGAAGTCAATATCTGGGCTCTAGACCCAACCTCAGCTGCAAATTGGCTGTAGGATCTTATGAGAGTGATTACTATTTATCAAGTACTCACTTTCTGCCAGATCACAGTATGAGTAATTTACTGCCTCAGTCCGTTTGGCCTGCTACAACAGAGTACCATAGACTGGCGGGCTTACAAACAACAGAAATTGATTTCTCACAGTTCTGGAGGCTGGGAAGCCCAAGATCAAGGCACCAGGCAGATTCGGTGTCTAGTTCATAGACAGCAGTCTTTGTACTGTGTCCATCCTCACAAGACCAAAGGGATGAGGGAGCTCCCTGGGTTCTTTTTCATAAGAGCATTAATCTGATACAGAGGGTAGAGCCCTAAGGTCTCCCAAAGGCCCCACGTCCTAACACCAACACCTTGGGTGTAGAATTTAATATATGAATTTGGGGGGGGACACAAATATTTAGTCCATAGCATTTACATACATTTCTTATTTCATTCTTCAGCAATTCCTCGAGGGAGGTATGATGATCCTCATTTAGTAGAAATTGAAACTGAACCCAGAAATGTTCAATGACCCTACTCAAGTTCTCCTGACTCAGAAATGGCAGAGCTGGGATGTGAACGTGCAACCTCCTCTGCCAAGGTCTAAGCTCATAATCACTGCTCTCTAGCACCGCACGGCTGGGTCTTAGTGTCCTCTTTTGTAAAATGAGAAGATTAGACTATTTAATCTTTTTCTTTTTAAGATTAATTTATTTCGGGGGGAGGGGCAGAGGGAGAGAATCTTTAAGCATACTCCCGGCAGAGTGCAGAGTCCGACATGGGGCTCAATCCCACAACCAGTGAGATCATGACCTGAGCTGAAACCAAGAGCCAGACGCTGAACCGACTGAGCCAGCCAGGCGCCCTTAGACGACCCAATCTTTAAAGTCCTTTCTCCGATTAAGCTGCATCCTAAACATGTCAAGATCAAAGAGAAGTGATTCAACCCAGACTCGGTGGCAAGTGATTGGACATCGTCCAGGACAAATACACCTATGGTGTACTGGGGGCCACCAGCCGGGTCTGAGTCACCAGCAGCCTCCTTCCAGCCCTGGACCAGGAAGCACAAGTCTCTCTGTGCTGCACACAACGACATGCACAGGACATCAGCCTGGCCAGGGTAGAGGCGCCACCTGACCAAACTCGGGGTGGGATCCTGAAGGTATCCATGAAGACAGAGTGTTCCCGCAGCTCTAAGTTCTGGAATGTGATTGACGAAAGCCCACCTCTTCACTCACTGCATAGCCTGAAGGCTGCAGGGCACCAGGACAAGTGCAGGCAAAGCCTGAGACTCAGCCAGGGCGTCACAGAGTCTCTGTCGTTCCTCCAGATCACCACTGTCCCACAGAAATGTGGTATGAGCCGCGTATGTAATTTTACATTTTCTAGTAGCCACACTTTAAAAAATAAAAAGAGGTAAAATGAATATTGATAACGTATTTAGTTTAACCCAACCCATCCAAAATATCACCAATTCAACATGTTATCCATATAAACATTATGGGGATATTTCACATTTTCATTTTCATACTAAAGTCTCTTACTGAGAGCACATCTGAATTCAGAAGCCACATTTCAAGCACTCAGTATGAATCAGCACAAACCCCGTGAACTGTGGCTGCTAAGTTGGAGAGTGCCACCCCCAGGGTCTGCTGGTGCCGATGGAGAACACACACATGCACGCACACACTCATACCCGAGCAGCACAGAGAGCGAGGCATTTTGTCCAATCCCTGCAGCATCAGGCCCAGCAAATAATCCAAGTTACAGCCTTGTACCCAACAGCACTGGGAGCAGGCCGAGGCCCAGGGAAACGGACACCAACCTGAATTCGTGCACACAGGATGCAGACAAATGAGAGGAAACCAGCCCTTCGTGGGGGAAAAAAGACATCTGGCCTGCTGCCTTTGAAGTTCAATTCACCTTCTGATATCAAGAGTAGCAGGCCAAGGAAAAAAATACTAGAGGCCTTTAAGCAATTGAGGCGAGAGTTCAGAGTTCCTTGGTCAGTTCCTTGGGAAACGAGATTCATATGAGATTGGGGAGAGGGGAGAAAATCGTCTAAAAATCATAAAGTTAACAATTTGTATATTTGGGTGGTGTCAAACCACAGGAGCTTGGTGTCCTCACCCATTCATGAAAGTCTCAGCCCCACACTCCTTTCCACTGAAAGCAATTACTGCTTGAAATAGATCCGCAGAAGCAAGGGGCAGCAGAGAAAAATGTGTTTTCCAAAACTGAAGGACTTGGAGACTGCTGGGGGGATTGTGGTTTTCCAGGAATGGGCTGAATTGAAATGGATTTTTTAAAAAGAAAGGAAGAAGAGAAAACATTTCCAACCCTCCTTTGTAGCTCCCTGCACCCCCCACCCCACCCCAACATGCAAAGCACCGCAGGAAGGGTGACTTCTCTGCCCCCCGGGAGAAGGGAGGAGGCTGGTACCTCCCAGGGCAGACATCCCCGGGGCCCATCCGCCCGGCCTCTCCCCCTTCAAGAGAGAACCACACGGGCGAGGCCTCAGAACTGAGTGTTTACCCACTGTGTTTGTGAGCTGACACTGGAACCACATGGAAGGCACATGCAGGAAGCGTGCTGTAATCATCTTATGTTTATAATCCCGAGAGAAGGAGGGCAGAGTCGAGGATGGGATTGATCCAGCTCCAAATCTATTTCCTGGAGTCAGATTTAAAAGAGAGATGTTAAGGGCAAAATCTCTAACAATGTGGGTACATCGCAACAAGTTACAAGTCTATTTCTATTCATGTTTGTACAGAGTTTCTAATCCGTTTCTTCCTTCTCACAGGCACAAAGCCAGCCCTGCCAGAGCTCACAGAACTCTGAAAACTGCCTCTTCTAATACATTCTTATCAAATTCAGAAAATCTGATTTTCGAAGAGTTCATTTACAGGACAACAGTCCCCTTTCTCTGCAATGCCTTTATCATTTTTTTATTGTTATTGTTCAGATTTTAAGCATTACCATCTGACAATCTGGTCCATTCTCGGTGATGTTAAACATCCATCTGATCGTAGTCTGGTTTCCAAATTTCTCCTCGAACAACCAAAGCGTCCAGTGGGTCTGCTCACATTCCCTGGCACACCCAAGCAAGAAGACGTCTTAAGGCCCGAGGAGCCTCTGCAAAGCCTCTTGTCTGAGCTGGCCGTTCCCCCGGAGCTGCCTCTGAGTCATGGTTCCCCTTTGTCTCTGTCAATTAGGATGGGATGTTTTACAGCTCTTGCTGGGAAGTAGAGTTTCTGGGCTCCCTAGCACTTCAATCCTAGTCACATGCCCCAGGTAGGAAAGCTGCCAGGCAATGAAGAAAACAGGTGAGCTGGGAAACCAACTCTAGGGATGACTAAGAGAGATTACTACCATCGGCACGGCACTTTACAGTTTTCAAAGTGATTCTGCACCCGGCGTCTCACTTAACCTCGCAATCATCCAACAATATAGGCTCTTAACCGTCTTTTTATAGTGAGGAAACAGAGGCTGGGTTTGCTGCCACATCTCCCTGAGGTCACACACGTAGCTCACGGGGGAGCTGGGAATGGGAGCAGCTCTTCAGACGAGAAACCCAGCCCAGCTCTGTCCTTGTATCTTCTTCCCCCTGGAGACATCGGCAAATAATCCAGGCAGCTGAGCTGTTTTCATCACTCGGTCAAACCTGGAGCATATAAGACATGTTTCATCGCAATGAATATGCATCTTTCACTTCACAGAGTGCTATGTCTCTTCCGTCGTTGCCTTTTGGGGGTGCTTGGATAAAACCATTCCAGGGCTCATCCAACGTGAATACAATGAGAGGAAAAAAGTAAACCTTCAACCGACTACATATTGAGGGTCCAGTATGTGAGAGAAAACTTGATGCCTACTGTCCAGAAATTTCTATTGCTTGAGCAGAAAAGCTATAGATTGTTGAGGGTTAGATCCCAGCACAGGGTCCCAGAATGAGAGCCGTCACCTGGTCAAGGCAGGAGAGGCAGCCTGGGTGGGCGGAGATGGGAAGCCGTGGGCGGGACCTCCCCCAGCTCCCCTAAAGACAGGTCACTAGAAGCCCTTGCTACAGATATGGATTCCTGGATGCTGTAATCTTACCCCTCTCTTACAGGTTTTCTTAGCCCTTTTTTCACTGTATTTTAATTATGTATATTTTCTCATTTCTCATGTGAGACATGTAGTTTTAAAATTGAAAGCTCTCGTCTTAAAAAAAAAAAAAAAAAAAGACATGGATTCCTGGACTTCCATCTGGAAGGCCGGAGAAAGGCCTGGTAAACCTGTGCCCCAGATGGTCCCTAACTTAGGGAAGCCTGCAGCCCTGGGAAACATGAGTCAGCTCCAGAGGCTGTGTCGTGGGAGGGCAGGGGGAGGGCAGAAAATGTGGGGAAAGAGATGGAAAGAGGTGAGACTTCCAAATTAAGACAAATACGGGAAGAAGACTTACTTCCAAAATGAAGGCAGGGACAGCAAGAAGTCGGCAGGCAGCAGGACAGATGGAGGGAGGGAAGGCTCGGGGGAAGAAGGACTCCTCACACTTGCCCCTGAGAGCAGCTGAGAGGGGCCCTCACTTCAGGTGCATCACTTCTGGGCCAGTCCCCACTCCTGCCTGTGAGCCCGTCCTGGGGACCTCCGCAGCCCCTGTCCTCTCCCTTCCAGCTGAGGATCCAGCAGGGAGCAGAGAGGTATAAGTTGCTGAATGGACATAGGAGTTTGCTCAATACCTGATTTTCTTTTTCTTTTTCACTGGGATGTATCCATGACTGAGCCTTCGGAGGCCCCAGGGATTTTGTCCCAAAGGGAGTCTCTAATAGCCATGGTGAAGGTGGAAATGTTCTTGGCCTAGGGGAAATCTGGGTTCAAAGTCCAGTTCCAGGAGACCCTTACAGGGCAAAATCATGTTTTGGTCCTTGGTTTCTTCCTCAATTAAATAATAATCACACCTAACATTTTTATAGTACTTACTACATGCCCAGCCTTGTTCTGTATATTTTTTTTTCCCAGTTGAATATAAGTTCTTTTTTTTAATTAATTAATTTTTTTTGATGTAGTGTTCCATGATTCATTGTTTGTGTATAACACCCAGTGCTCCATGCCCTCTTTAATACCCATCACCAGACTAACCCATCCCCCACCCCCTCCCCTGTAGAACCCTCAGTTTGTTTCTCAGAGTCCATAGTCTCTCATGGTTCGTCTCCCCCTCCAATTTCCCCCCCTTCATTTTTCCCTTCCTACTATCTTCTTTTTTTTTTTAACATATAATGTATTATTTGTTTTAGACGTACAGATCTGTGATTCATCAGTCTTACACAATTCACAGCGCTTACCAGAGCACATACCCTCCCCAATGTCTGTCACCCAGCCACCCCATCCCTCCCACCCCCCACCACTCCAGCAATCCTCAGTTTGTTTCCTGAGATTAAGAATTCCTCATATCAGTGAGATCATATGATACATGTCTTTCTCTGATTGACTTATTTCGCTTAGCATAATACCTTCTAGTTCCATCCACGTCGTTGCAAATGCAAGATTTCAGGTTTTTCTGATGGCTGCATAATATTCCATCGTATATATATACCACATCTTCTTTATCCATTCATCTGTTGATGGACATCTTGGCTCTTTCCACAGTTTGGCTATTGTGGACATTGCTCCTATAAACATCAGGGTGCACATACCCCTTCGGATCACTACATTTGTATCTTTGGGGTAAATACCCAGTAGTGCAATTGCTGGGTGGTAGGGTAGCTCTGTATATTTTTATAAGTTTTAGGTCTTTTAATTCTCACAACCATATAAGGAAGATTCTGCCATTGTCCCTGCTATATGGATGGGAAAACTGAGGCAGAGAGAGTTTGTCACTCACCCGAAGAGGCAAGATTCAAACTCAGGTGGTCTGGCTCCAGAGCCCACACTAAACCACCGTCCCCACCTCCTCTCTCAGAAGGACAACACAGACAGAACAGGTGTGTGTATACGTGAGTGTGTTGGTGTGTGTGTAGGGGAGACATATGAGAGAGGAGAGATTTGGTGGGGAAGGGTACCACAGTAAATTCTAAGAAGATGATTCTGGACTGGGGGATGGGGTGGGAAGGCTTTGGGAAGCAAGTCTACCCACCTGATGGAGAAAGCCCAGAGGAGCGAAGAAGATGCCTCTGGATAGAGACTGGCAGAAGGGGGATTTGGGGTGAAAACGCTCAGCACCCAGTGGTCTCATTCATTCCATTTGGCAGCTGCTTCCCCTGAGTGCCTGGGATATGCCAGGCCCCAGGACAGACACAGGAGATACAGACACCCTCCCTGCCTCTGTGGAGCTTACAGTCCAGCAGAGGAGATGGACAAAAAAGAAAGCCAACGCATGACTAAAACCACTGGAAAAGTGAGGAGCAGCGTGGAGAGTAAGAATCGGGTAGATGGGAGAGGGCCCAGCAGGTGCAGGAAGTGGAAGACGAGCGGGATTAGGGAGCACTGGAAGAGGAAGAGGTGACAGAAGAGAGGGCGGGAGACAGGCAGCAGCCCCCCCAAAGGCCACCAGAAGGAGGCTGGAGTGCAGTACTGCGGGGGGACATTGAAGGCCTTGAAGCAGGAAACGATCCAATCTATGTCTTAAGAAAAACACCTGTGGCTGACTGTGAGGAGAACAGCCTGCGAGGACCCGGTTAGGAGGGGGCTGCTGTTGTCCAGGCAGGGGAGGGTGGTGGCCCAATGGGTGGCGGCCATGGAGGTGGAGAGAAGGAACATGACCGGATGTGGATTTTAGACGTAGAACCGACAGGCACTTTGTCCCCACCACCATGGAAGACAGGTTGCGTAGACAGCAGCAGGATTTAGACCCTGACTGGACGCCTTATTGACCAAGCAGAAGTCCACAGGAGACGGGCGAGAAAGACCACACACTCGCACAGCTTGTACCAGTGGGAAGGACAGACAGACACAAAGGGACGCCCCGTCTTGGAAGAAGTGGTCCTCTGCCGCTCTCCAGGTACACACCACAACTCTGAAATGCAGATGCAAGAGCCAGATCCTCTCAAGCACTTTCAAATGAATCAAATTGAGGGCAGTGATCCAAGCAGGAACAATGGGGTTCTGTGCAGGGCTGAGCAAGGTCCCCACGCTTGGCACTCAGGCAGACAGATGGCCATGGTGACTGACGGTGTCCTGGGGCATGGCACCAAGCCAGGAGATCCCCCCAAGTAGCAAGCAGACTCACAGAGCCTGGGACAGGAGGTGGCCACCAGGGACAACACAGCCTCCCAAGAGCTCAGGCACAAGGGATGGGTCCTCGGTGCTCTGAGGGGAAAGGGAAGCCTGGGGGCAACTCAGTGTCTGTGGCCGTGGGCTAACCCCCAGGGACAGGGTCTGCTGGAAGTGGACGGAAGCTGCCATTGGACTTAGAACTCTTAGTATTAGCTTTCATTTTTAATAGAGTTTTCCTTTTAAATAAAACCAATAGTGTCCTAGCAAGTTATTTTGCTAGCCTCCTAATCTTAATCCTTCATTTATTTATTTAGTACACAATGTATTAACACAATATTCTGGACCAGGGGCTTCTCACACTTTTACATGCACATGAATCTCCTGGGCAACTGGTTAACCTACAGACTGTGGCTCAGTAGGACCGGGGCGTGGCTGAGATTCTGCATGTTTATGAGCTCTCTGGTGACCCTGACCCTTACACTACACTTTGAGGAGGGTGACTCTGGTCCAGGCAGATGTTCCTTTCATCTTCCTTGAGTCCATTCCTCACTCCACTTTGACTTCAAAATAAAATTAGTTCATTCACTGTTTATCGGAGTACCACCCTCTAAAGGCAACAGGTTGAGTATTGAGAGAGATATAGAAACAGACATAATACAATGTCACCTTTAAGGAAATTGCAAACTGGCTAGGTGGAGAGATGAGTGCTAACACAGAGTCCAAGGCCTGCCCTGCCCCACGCCTCCTACTACGTCAGAACTATAATGCATTGTCCCACGTAAGCCTCACTGCACCCCAAAATGGGAATTGTCTCTATCTTACGAAGAAGGAGAACCAGGCTAGGAAAAGTTAAGTCAATTTTTCAAGCTCACACAACCATTGAAAAGTTGGATTTTGACTTAAATTTGGATCTGCCTGGCCCCAAATTTCAAATTCTTTCCATTAAGCTATACCGAGGACATAGATCTAAGCATAAATACCCAAAACACTGGGCATTATGTGATGTGTGCAAAACGAGAAGTAGACACACCTTGCTGGAGGGATTTCAGCAAGTGGGTGGTAGGTGATAGAAATTTGGAGCTATAGTAAATTTACCAAATTTGACTGTGTTGCCAGAAAAAAAGCAGCAATAAAGACTTCATGTTGAAAACATTTTTTTTAATGTTGCAGAAGAGAGATCAGTTTCCTTGTTTGTTCATAAATTCTCCTTTTATGGATTGCAATTCCAAAGTCCGGGAAGCCACTTGCCCAGCCAAGAGAAGCTGGCATCTCCGGCTCAGGGCTCCAGATGCTACCAGACATTTCGTCGGCAAGCACCCAGAATGAGGGCTGCCCATCCCAGGAGCAATCTTCTATCACACGTCTGCCTCTGTCAGAACAGAGAGCAGAGCTGAGCCTGGAAACCCAGGACGAGAACATGCTTCTTACCCGCATTGTTTGGCTAATTCTGTACCCTTGTCCCCGTGAGGTTTTCTTCCATTGTCACTATCCCTTCTCAGGGCCCCTGGCTCCAAGTTTGGCTGTCCAGCG